CACATTTACCTTGTGGCTTATCACACAATGCCTCAATCAAAGTTGGCTCCAGTGGGACTGTGGTACTTTTCTTGGGCAATAATCGAGGATCCTTAACATTAAGAGATAACATTGCATGATAAGAAAAATTATCCTCACTTTCAAATATAGGTGATTTGTTATTCTGAGAAATAGAACCCTCCTCTGTAGCCAAATGTTTTTTTCAACTGCCAATGTTTCTCTGAAATTCTGTAAAGCCATCAAATATAATAAGCCTGATTGAAGATCACAAGTGAAATAAAATGAGCAGTTTTTCTAAAATAAACAACTAACCCTGTAACAGGATGCAATATCTTTTGAAGAAGTTGAAATGACTTTGATCCCATTAATTCTAATTTGGCAAGTTGGCCATCAAGAGAAACATACTTGATCACAATGCCATCTTTTTCCATCTGAAACACAAACATAGTATACATAGATGAGAAGGGGGGGAGAGAGTGTCTTTTAGGAGAATATTCATCATATATGTGGTTTCAATTTGTGTGCAATGCCATGAGGAAAATTCTAAATATCATCCGAATAACAATCATTTTAGCATTCAAATCATGTCCCCAAGAATTCTCTATTGACAATGCAGTGATACCCTCTCAAACCTATTTAATTTGTCTTAGAAAAAGAAAAAAGGTTAATACAAATTTTGGTCCTTCAAGTTTACCCTCATTTTGGTTTTGGTCTCTTAAGTTTATTTTCATTTAAAACATTGGTCCCTATAATCCAATAATACTTGGACCATTTTGCCCCTTGAGGCACCAAAACCTATAGTTTGAAACTTGAGAAACTAAACCAAAATGAGGGCAAACTTGAGGGATCAAAGATTATATTAACCCAAAAAAAAAATCTCTAAATGAAGTCCATTGAATGGTGAGCTGCATACTAGTTCAACGAACTGCAGATAGAGGTGCATTTTCTCCAATAGTGAGACAAGAGGATCTACATACTCAAATCACATCCTAAATGCTTTCAGTGTCAAAAATGAAATTTCAGCACTGCTAAAAGAATTTGAGCATGTCAACATAAAAGAAAATGTTACATCAACAAATTAAATTTAACCAACCCTTCCCTATCTCTTTATCAAGTGAAATATATACTGTGATAAAACAAATAAAACAAGATAGGGCGGGGATGTCCATAAAGGAGCTAAGGAAGAAAGCGAACCTCTTTATGGCATGCCAGCTTTAGCATATCATATCCTTCTTCAAAGGCAGAAGCATGTATCCACACCCAAAGCTGTCTAAAGGAAGCACTAGGTCTCATACTGTCAGACTTTTCACATTCATCAATCTCACGTTTACTTGTTTGATCACTCATATCATGCTGTCTAAAGGAAGTCCTATGCTCTACATCAAGCTCTAAACTCACATCTTGATTGGAACTGGTCGCCACATATAAGTCACAGGAGCTATCACATGAGAAGGTTCTCCCACTCCACAGAGCTGTCAATGAATAAAATTATTCTTTGTTTTAATACTCTGATAACGACAGTTCACACTAGAATCTACAATAGGGTGACCTACCATAGCAGTCCCATAGGAGAGACCAGAAAGAACAGAATCATCATTATTTCCATCATCGGTATCTGGGGAAGGCACTAGTACCATTCTTAATACTGAAATCAAGGAATCCTAAACACAAGATGCAAACTAAAATAATCAATAAAAAAATTCTAAAATGAGATGCAATTAATGTTGCACCAATGCACTTGGTGCAAGGGTTTATGTGCTAGCAAAAGAAAAATCTATTCTTACATAGAGAATTGTGGAAAGAAGATAGTTCCTAAAAAAGCAAAAAAAGCAATAATTACAGTGAAAGAATACAAACCTCTGGACCCTCCAGCTGGAGGGCAGTACAATAGCTTGCATCATGTACAAGCACCCCTTGTTTAAGCCTTTTCAAAAGTGCCCTTGAACCCCTTCCCCTGCCTAAATTCACACATAATCCATGTTAGTCTTGCTTCCAAAATAATCTCAGTAATACTGCTTCATGCATTTGAAAAGATTAAAAGAAAAAAAAACTGAGGTATTGAACAGCCACATTTTTGTAGCATCAGATTTCCATGATCCAGTAACCTAAAAATGAAACATGAATACTACTCTTTATCTCTTTATCTGTAAATTAAATTTAAGTCCCCAGTTTCTTGTGTGCCCACTTCAGTTTCTTTGTGTATAGGATAGGTATCTTTCTCAGTAGTTACTGATTAAGATCAAAGTCCCCAGCTCCTAATCCAAGGATAATAATACCTGCCTTGCAGACCTAGAGGAAGGTGGTAGCCCCAAAGCCTGGTCATGGTGAACCGCTTAGCATGCCAAACATGAGTTCTCAGCCTCCTAGTTCCGTCACCTGAACTGCAAAAGCCATTCTCTGGGTTCATTTTAAGTTCCAGTCTCCGTCGAACACGCCTTGGAAGCTTATTTATCTGGTCCTTCTCCAAAACAGAAGAATTGCTTTCATCAAATATTCCCCGCTTTCTTCTTCTTTCCTTCTACACCGTTCTCTGGCATTTTGGTTATCATATGCAGTTGTTCTTCTTCTCTTGTTTCTTTGGGACCTAAAATCACTATTTACTCGATTGGCTATAATGGAGTTAAGACTTTTAAGCTCAAGAGCTCGGGATTCTGCATATTTCTGCACATTGATTTTGCGAGGGGCTATCGCTGCTGAAACTCGAGTGCGGTTGCTTCCTTCAGCAAGCATCTTACATAACTAAAAAGAAACAGATAAAGTTAACGTTTTTTCAATGAGCAGATAAAGTTAAGTAATCATGCAGGAATATGATCATCAAGACAATGAAAAACGGGTTATTCAAAAGACCTGCACATCATAAAGTCACAACAATCAGTGAGAAACATGAATGGAAAAGACGGTAGATGATCAGGCCTCACAAGATGATGGCTTAGATGGCAGTATGAGACGAAAAGTTCAGACAGTTAAATATTTGATTAAACAGGCAAAGAAACATAACTTGCTCACGGGTTGTAAAAAAACTGGTTTAAATTGAAGGAAGAAGGAACTAGATTTTAGGCTCTCTTTGATTCAACAAAGCGGAGGGAGGGGAGGGGAGGGAAGCTAATAATAATTTGACCGTCATACCCCATCTAAGATAATTTCCTTTTTCTTTGTTCTTTTTATATAGAAGAAAGTAGATATATTACATCAATTTTCCCATCTAAGTACGGTAATATATTGTGGACCGGAGGAGTATGCTGAAAGCAATCATTGATATCAGAATAACAGACTACGTATTCTTCTTACCCAAAAAATGTTCTGAAAATTTGATGTGCCAAGAGAAAATTACAGCTCAATGTCAGATACATTCACAAGATGATATACTGACACTAATTAATTAACACTGCTTACTACTTATTAATCATCCAAAGAATCTAGAAAATAAGCATGCCATAAGATCATCCGAATTAGTTTCAGCATCAATATAACTTTTTTAAACACTAAGCAGGGCAAATACGCCATCATACCAGGAAAATTGACACAACACCAATAAAGGAGTTTAGTTTACTTGAAATTCCTTACGGAAAGAACACTTTCTTCTCTAACTTCACCATAGACTATAAGAACACTAGACATCTATCATAAGTGGCAACGGGGGAAAAAACATAAGAGTGGGGGAAAAAATGATTAAAGTAAGAGACTGCCCAACAGAGAATGGAACGTGGTGATTCAAAACATTCAGCAAGACCAGCATTTGCATGCTGATGTCCTTGCAAAAAGCGCACTTAAACGGAACTTACAGCTTTTGAGCCCCGAATCGTCGTCGGCGGTGCTGCGCGCTAGGATGAGGACGTAGTCCCGTTTTAATTTTTTTTCTCTCCTATGTTCCGATGTACCAAAAAACACAGAGAGAGCACGAGCGTGAGCTCCGTGACAAAGAGCCCGACGAACGCAGGTGAGTACAGGACTCCTTGGAAGGCGGGAGAGACGATGATGATGTTAGAATTGGCAGCAGACAAGAAGCGACGGGAGGAGGAAGGGTTTTCAAAGCTTTTAATAATATGCTTTTTAAAATCTTTCACCTCTCTGATATATTGCTTCCTCCTTCCTCCTGTTCAAAATATAAAATAAAATTTATATTTATCAAAAAAATCAATTAAAATCAGTTAAAAACGAAAAATATAGTTTTTTAAATATACTCTTATTAATGAGAGAATATGTAAGAAAAAACAATAAATGGAAAAAAAGAGAGTAAATATTAGGGGTAAAATTAAAAAAATCATTAAATATTTAGACAAAACTAAAATATTATCTTATAAAACTTGTATTTTAAACAGGAAGGAGTATGAAAAAAACAAGAAATTGATTGGAGAAAAAGAAACAGAATACCAACCATATAACAACCATAACCTCTATATATATTTAGGACATAAAAAAAATTTTAAAAAATAACTGTTGAATTTTGATTAAAAAAATGATTGTTGAATTTTAAAATTTTAAATCAGCTACTACATTTTGTAAAGAAAATGATTACACTCAAAAAGCAAATAATAACATATTTTTATAGTAATTTTTAATTTGAAATTTTAAAATTTAATAGTCACTTTTTTTAGATTTTCCCCAAAAAAATACCTAACAATATCATTTTTGCTGGCAAAAAATATATATGATATAAATCTAGATATAATGTTCTAGAATAAATTAAACAAAATTATCCACCGCGTTATATCATTCCAATAAGAAAAAAAAGCAAAAAGAAGAGCTTCTATGTTTTATGAGGCCAAGATTTTTTTAATAGGGTTAAAATAACTACTAACTACATAAAAAACATCGTACCAAAAAAAATATGACTATGTAAAAATGAATTTTGCCCCTTGAGGTGTAAATATTAAAAAAAAATTACCCTGAAATATTTTTAAGTGCATCCAGTATTTTAAATTATTTTTTTCAATGAGCCTAGCACTAAAAATATTTTTTGGTGTATCTAGTATCAAGACAAAAAAATATATTTTAGAGTGTTAAATGCACCTAAAAAATACTATATCATGCTGGATGCATCACAACATATTTTAAGATGCTAGATGCACCTGAAAAAATATCTCAGGATACCAAATGCATTTCAACTTTTTTTTTTTTAATATTTTCCCCTCAAGGGGCGAAAATCATTTTTACATAGTCATATTTTGTTGGTCCGACATTTTTTATGTGGTTAGTAGTTAGTTTAGGCTACCTTATCTAATCAGGTCAAAAACAGATTGCCTTCTCTAATTAGATAAACTAGATTACTAGAAGATATTTTGTTTTTGCCATTATACTGGAAGATATCAGTCCTTTACCCTTTTCACAACTAAAATGAAAAAATTCTAAAAATACTTTGTAAATTTATTTTTCATTACTTTTCACGTTGAATTTTAAAAAAATTAAGTCATGAAGTTATTATTTTATTTAAATATTTTTGAATAAATAATTCTTAAAAAAATTTAAAAATAAATAAAAATGAAGGGGAAAACGAAGGGTGAGAGGGAAAGAAAGAACAGAGAGAAGTGGAAAGGATGTGAGTTGACAGTGCGGGAAATCAGAGTGACGCCTGAAAAAGTAGGTTCATAACAAATTTAATATTTTTATCCCGTTTTAAAAAGTTCATTTGTTTATGGTGATGCTCTTTATCAAAAAGGTAAAAGGTATTTTTGCACTTTTAACTACGAAAATTAATGATTTGATTTTGCTATTTCATTAACACACTCATGTTCATGTAGGCATCACCCCACAAAATTAAACATTTCAACAGAGGGAAATACATATTAATACTGAGGTTCAATATAATTATAGGAATATAATTATAGGAATTCCTCTTCAATGCCCTCATCTCCAATGCTTCCATTCTTTTGATCTCTTTCTTCACCCTAAGCCTAGCCTAGAACAAATGCAGCCAGTGCCTTATCAAGTGACCCCAATGAATAGACACCACAAATAACGATTGACACTATTCTACAATAAATTGTCTGTGTAACTCAAGAACCAAGTTGCACAACTTCAAATAACAATGCAAGGCCAAAACCCACGTCCAACACAACAGCACCTATACTCATAAGTTTTATCAGGTAGAATCTTAGAAAAAATCTCCATGGGGTAAAACCAACTAGTAAGCTTCAATCTTGCCATCTTTGTGCTTGTGAAAGAGAGACCTTCAAGCCTCGTATTGATTTCTTTATCATGTAATAGTGCAGGATAAATCATTTAGTTAAGAAAACTAAATACTTTTACAACATTCGCTGATCGTCAACAAAATGGAACATTGCAACAAGGGGAGGGAATATAGCCATGCTCAGCAATTAGTGATAGATGCTGCAGGAGCCTTACTTGGTGCATCTAATGACCTGAAGGGTTTACTCTTCATATGCCCTCCTCCCCAGCATATCCATTCTCAGTCTCTTCTTCACCAGAATAAGAAGCATAGACACCAAAAGCAAGCTTAGTAGAAAAGCATCTATTGGAGCATAAAATGTTCTCCCAAATGCTACTTTGCTTTCCACTTACTTGTTTGCTTTTCAAACTGCTCTCCGGGTGAAATAACCGAACCGAAATGGCCATGCCTCCTCACAACTCAAACATCCCATAATAAAGGCTTAGCAAGAGTCACTATACCATCTCCTTCATCCCAGGGCACACAATGCTATAATTCGTCCTTCTGCTTCTGCAAACCCAGCCAAGTAATGTGAAAACAATGTTAGCATTCAAGAACACTAGGACATAATATGAGGGCTGAGAAAGGGGAGGAGAATGAAATTAATGCAGTTACTTTTCATTCCCAATTTGGATTTGCGTATCACAGTCACAGATTCCAAAACGTTGAGTGGAAATATCAACATAAAAGCTGACGAAAAGTTAATAACATACTGATATATTATCCAACACCTTTCTTCTCATTAGGAGCTCTTCCATGGTCTTCGTCGAGGGAAAAATATAAATATGGCAACAACAAAAATTTCAAAAGCATATGCAAGTTGCAGGGTATAACAAAGAGTGCAGTACTCAAGCACACAAGCATCAGAAATCAAATTAAGGCACAGGTAGGAAATATCACAGGAAAGAAAGCAAACGCATGCGTGAAAGGCTGGTTGTGAAGTTTTTAATGCGTTTGAAAAATGCTCATACACCCATGCCTTAAGAAGTTAAGGCATTCTTTTCATTGGAGGAGTCCAACCTAGCAAAATATCATCATGATCATTTTAAACAATCATTATTTTAAATGACAAATAAAAAAAAAAAAACTTCATTTTAGCTGAGATTTAAATAAATTAAAGAAAAGCCAACCCATGAGCAACCACTGTAATATGCCTGAGTCAATGAATCAAATAAATGGTAAGCCATAAGTCATGACATAGGTAGAAAGCTCTTGGAAACGAGTAGGCTGAATGCGAAGCCCAAGTCATGACATTAACTAAAATCGGCTCAAACTAAGTCCGAAGTAGACCTAAAGTGGCTTGTGAACAGTAATATGTATCTAAAGCTGAGAATAAGCCATATTTGAGCCGGCTTGGTGGAAAAGATTCTATATATATATATTGATGATTAAACCAGGCTTAACCGGCCCTCTAGCAATTTTTTGGAGCAGTCTAACCGCAGCTCTTGTTTTTCCCATCTTGCATAGGCCATTGACGAGTGTGCCATAGCTAACTGCATTTAACTGAAAACCTTTTGCTATCAGATCATCATGAAAATCAAAGGCCTTCCCGACCTCATTGTTGATACAGAGTCCCTTCATTAGGGGGTAGTCAGAGTTGTATTTGGATGACAGCCTATCTTAAGAATCTTGCCTAAGGCAGAGAAAGCAAAAGCAATTTGACCCACATGGCAGTAACAATTAATCAAGATGCCCAGTGTAACCAAATTTGGCGTGAATCCCTTAGATTCTGCTTGTGCGAAAACGGAGATAGCAATAGTATAATGTTTCATTCTTGCAACAGATCCTAAAATCTTAGTAATTTGGACTATAGAAGGTGGGGGATGCCTATGAAGCAGGCCATGGAAAGAAGAGACAGCCGGAGTTAGGACATATGAAGGAGAAAGACGGAATAAAGATGGAGACGATGCAGCAAACAAAGGAAACTTACCTTGAAGCTCTACAAAAGAACATATTTAACTCTCAGATCCGTCGATTGATTGAGAGAGGAGATCGACCAGAGGAGACAAGAAAAGTAGTCGAAGCCGTCTTTAAAACTCCAAGGCCTTTCGTTTTTTGCCCTTTTGGCGGCCAAAACCGAAACTTTTTGTTCGTGTTCTCTTGTCTCCGGCTCATACGAACTTGCATCTTGCCGCATGGTAATCTGTTATCTGCTGCTATTATTTTATTTAAACAAAACTATTTTTTAAAAAAAAACCACTGTATAATCTATAATTAATGCTACCCCTCATTTTCAACTTTACGAGTATGTTTGGTTGGAGGAAAAAAAAATGAGCCCCTCTCCTTATTTGGTTAAAAATTTTAGAGGAAAGAGAAGCCAAAATATCCAATCCCCTCCTCTCTCTCATCTTAGCTCCCTCTCAAATTGAAGGTTTTTTGGACTATTATATTGTTATGATTTTTTTTATATTTCATTACCATTCATAAAATATATTATTATAATATTTATTTTAAATAAAAATATATTATTTTAAGTAAAAAATATAAATTATTATAATTAAAAAATATATTATAATAAAAATTAATATAAATTATTATAAAATAAAAAAATTATTTAAATAAAAATTATAATATTATAAAATTAATTGTTTTTCATAAATATATTTTAAAGCTAAAAAAAGCATAGTCTAAAGAGAATAAAATTTTAATTTTTTTAGAGCATATAAAATCTGTTAATTTGATTATTTCAAATATATTATTATATTAGTTAGAATTAAAAAAATATTGTACCAATTTTTTAATGCACATACTAACATGATAAGAATAAATTTTTATTAAATTATATGATTTAAATTAAGATGTAAATTAATTTATATAATATATCAATAAAAAATATAAACTAAAATGTAAGG